GTGGCCCCTCCCGCTGCGCCGCCTCCTGCCGCCTGCCGCGAGCGCTCCGCTCCGGTCGGCGGGGAGGGAAGGAAGAGGACTGCCCTGCAGGGCGCTCTGGTTCTCCGCGCCGCCGCCCCCTACAGGGCAGCCAGAGCGGAACAAGAACAACAACAACAACAAAAAAGCGGCCGTGCGGCCCTAGGATTGGGCAGAATGCTGCCTTGAACAGTCTGCCGCCCCAAGCACTAGCTTGCTCAGCTGGTGCCTGGAGCCGGCCCTCATGTGACAGATTTTGGAGCACTCAATTCGTGTTGTTGTCCTCTACGGAGGGGAGGGATAGCTCAGTGGTTTGAGCCTTGGCCTGCTAAACCCAGGATTGTGAGCTCAATCCTTGAGGGGGCCATTTAGGGATCTGGGGCAAAAATCTCTCTGGGGATTAGTCCTGCTTCAAGCAGGAGGTTGGCCTAGATGACCTCCTGAGCTCCCTTCCAACCCTGATAGTCTATGTGGGACCAGATACTGAGTGTTCAACATCTCCTAGGATTTGGCATGGAGGCATTTTTGAAGCTACTTGTCAACACTTCCTTACTGGCATATGTTGGATTGGAATCAGGTCCTTGGTGGGTATGTCTGTGTATGTAAAAGCATGGCATTTGGTGCGGATCAGAAACCTGTACCTGCTCATCATTCAAAGAGCTTTAAGCAGACCAGTAAGGGAAAAGAAAAATAGGTTTTCATCCCTGTGTTGTTTCTTTATGGTGGCTAAAGAAGGCTGCAAGGTTGGCTGACTAGATGGGTGCTTTGTTTTTTGTTTTTGTTAAGATTTTAGTTTTGGCTTGAGTTTTTACATGAGAAATCAGGCCTGTCTGGGCTGGAGGGCGTAGGTCTTCAGCTGGTGTAATACATTGCTATTGGAGGCAATGGAGCTAGGACAATATACACCAGGTGAGGATCCGTCCCAGTGAAGGCTAGTGAGCAAGTGAAGCGATGACATCACAAGAGCCGAAAGAGCAAAATCTGAGCAAAGGAGAGGAGAATGGTTTTCTGAGTCAGTTTAAAAGAATCTTGGCTAAATTGTGGCTTTGCTAGGCTAGGTCCCATGAATGGAGCAGATTGGGAAAAAAATCAAGACTCGGGGAATCACAATCTGTCTCTTGCCCCCACCCTACAGCTTTCCAGGTGGACTGTTCCTGGGCCAGCCCTATAGATGAGGCAATGTACATTGGCCAGTGCACTGGCCCAGTTGTGCTGGCCCAAATGCTAGTAGGGGTTATGGGGAGCCCTAGCTGCTGCACACTCCTCATCCCCCTGCATGGAAAGCTTTAGGCCTCTTACTCCCCAGAGCTGGCCCTTAGGCTTTGGTTTACACTTATTAAACTCCAAGGCCTAATTAGCATTTTGGATAAAGAGCATCTTTGTTCCAGATTTATCACCCATGCACCTTCAGTTAAGGAGCTAGAGTTTATGGCAAACATTGCTGAGCCCTCCCACAGAGGTCCTGGAAAAACCACAGACGACTCAATTTGGCATTCTAGATACTAGGCTGCCAATGTGCAGAGACCGCTGCTGCTCAGTATTGTCTCATTGTTTCTTGGTACGCCTCTGTCAGTCTGTCTGTATCCATCTGCTGTCTCTTGTCTTGTACTTAGCTTGTAAGCCCATCAGGGGCAGGGACTGCCTAGCACAATGGGGTCCTGGTCTGTGACTAGGGCCTTTAGGCTCTACATTAATACAAATCAAAAATTAATAATAATAATCTGGGATGTATTAACAGGTGTGTTGTGAGCAAGACACGAGAAGTCA